GTGTGTGTGTGTGTGTGGACTGGCCTGAACTGTGCTGAGCTAAGAGCAACATGGCCTCATCTTTTCTCACTGTTCTCCCTGTGGAAAGCCTCCAACAAGCAGAGTGAAACCTCCCTGATGTCATGTAGCTCCATGTCCATTTGATCAAGCTCAGAGAAGTGTGAAGAAATCCATGCGGTCAGTTTGTATATCAAAAGAAAGGATTTGGAAAGAAACTTACTTGAAGTTTGTTGGATTTCAGTCAGACACATTACAACATCACACACCAACTTGAATGTATTTTCTTTGCTTTGACTTCATTGAGTACATGCAGCATCACAAAGCAGCAGAAACACTACGTGCATCTTTAAACGTGGCACAGCAGCTGTAGCTTCATTACCACACCGGCTGGGAGATAATGTTGGTAAATTCTAGTATCGCATGCGAATGAGCTGCACAAAACACATTTCTAAATCACATGAGGTCCCATGGTAATACTAGTGCTGTGTGTAATCACTTCTGCGCTGCATTTCTATGGTGTCTATGCTATGGTTTTTTTTCTGACAGGGCTTCCAGGAGTTGTTATGAAACTGTCTTTTCTACGATTTGGCAATAGATAACCAGTAAAAAGGGAAGCGTTTACTATATTGAGCAGATGGGGGGCAGCCACAATCACTAGTTTGAGAACAGAAATTGTCTTGAAGTGGCTGAAAATGGGAGGATAAGGGAAGGAAAACTGTGAAGGAAACAGGAATGGAAGTCTTAAAACCATTAAAGACTGATGGTTTTAAAAGACAATCAAATATATTAAAAATAGTTTTTGGACAGTGCTTGTTAGCATTAATTCAATATTTAGTTTTCACTATAGGTAGCTGCAACGATTAGCAGATTGATTAGTTGTCAACTATTTTGATAATTAATCATTTTGAGTAATTTTCTTTAAGAAAAAATGTCAAAATTCTCTGATTTCAACTTCTTAAATGTGAATATTTTCTGGTTTCTTCAGTCCTCTGACAGTAAACTGAATATCTTTTGGCCTAATAATTAAAAGAAAGGGTAGTTGAAGCCCTGGCTCTCACATTCTTAACAAGCTTATTAGGTGACGTCAATAGTGTCTTCATCTGTTCATAGTTGTAGTCATAAGTGTTTTTCCCCCGACACTCAACCCTCCTGCAATGTCTCCTGCGCTCGCGAGACAGAGTCAGTCAGAGAAGGGTAGGACATCTGTTTTTCTATTTACTTTTTAGAAATGCTGGAGTGCACTAATTCTTCTTGATTTGTAGTCGTAGCCCCGAGTATGTGGTTACAAAAAACACAAGAGTGATCTCTAACAACAAAGATCGATTAAGTGTGAACAGAAGAGTGTTGCCACGCTACAGTAGTTTCAAAAGGTCAGATAAAGTAAGTACTTCAAAACTTCAGTTGTCTGCCATAGTTATTGGTTGGCATTTAAGACACTCATTAAAAAACAACAGCTAAACCCCCCCTCCCCCTTCCCCCCCATGCCCACTAAGTCTGGGCCGACTAATAAAATCATGTGAAGGAGGGCAAAGCTCTGACGTAAAACAACCATTACCAAGCTGTAACCATCTCTCTGTTAAACACACAAAGTCAAGCGTATGCTGAAATAAGAACAAACCATTAAATGGAAAAGTCATATTTGAGATGGATCTGACATTGAGAAGGCCAAACCTGTCGGATTTAGTCAGCCTGTTGTGCCACTGTTTGTTTACCAAACCTCAGATGAGAAGGTCCGAATGTTGAAAAGAACTCATTGTTTTCTACCAGATGAAAAGAGGACGAAATGTTCCAATTAACCACCAAGCTATTCAGTTAATCATTTTGACTTAATGTTGGTCCTTTTATTAGTTTAGGTAACCATGAGTTACCCTATTATGTACTAACTCCGTCTCATTCTGTCTCATAGTGTGTCAGTTTGTTTCCCTGACAGTCTCTTTCCCTTCAGTCTCTCCTGGTTTGTCCGTTTATCTTTGTGCCTGTCCCATCTGTTCGAGCTCTTTTTCACTCTCCATTTCTTTTCTTTCTCTTAATTCTCTGTGCCTACTACATTTGCTTCTGTGCCCTACACTCTTTTACACTTTTTCCCCTCAGTTGGCACTCAGAAGGAGGAACAGCCACATCATCAGTTAGGCCGCCCAACCCCCCAACCTAAGGCAAAAAACTCAGAGAGAGAACATGTAAGAAACTGGAGGAACAGATGACTTGGTATTAACAGTCTGGGTTTGGTTTTCTTTTGTTTTTTTTTTAAAGATGGTTGAGTCAGCGGCTGGCCCAAGACCATGACAAGGGATTAGTGCCAGAATAGATGGTATTTAAATTGTGACTTTAGAGTGAACTGAGGTTAGGGGCAGTAAGGGAGTGTTTATTACCAAATGTTGATGGGAGTTACTATTCTTGTCATTCAAATCATCATTTATTCAAATGAGTTGAATGGCACTACTACTTTAAGCTATAGAGGTGATTGTTATCTACTAAACACAGAGTGGATGGGTGCTGAAATGCTGTGTTCAGAGACAACTGGTCTCAAATTAAAATCTGAGGAATAAAAGCTCAATATGACGACAACTGAATTTGAATCTGTTGAATGAAAGTTCATATTTAGACTAATATTCAGTTTTACAAGACATTGTTTTCATATTTTTTAAACAGGCCACAGTATAGTTTTCTAACTCTATTCATCCAATCTGATCTGTGTCCCAAAGTTATGCATATTACTGTGTTCCTCCTAAACAGTGTTTATGATTATACACTAATGAACTATGATTTCATCAGTGTATAATCATAAACATTGTTGTTACTTTAGAATGGGCCTTTTATATCTCAAGAGGGAGCGACTCTTCCACAGGGGCCGCCATGTTTCTACAGTAGCCCGGGATGGTCAAAGCAAACACTGGCTCTAGATAGGGCCATTAGTTTTTTTTTGCGCAATTTGCCGCCACCAGCTGACAATGTGCAATGTGCAACTCCACCGCTGGTTGCCACTAAATCCTACACACTGGTCCTTTAAGGATGAGCAGGACGTGTTTAAATGATCTACCTCATTTAGATATTTTTATCTTCTTATATCTCTCCATTCATCTCCCCCTAATCTTCCCTCCTGTTTTGTTTATTTTCCCGGTTGTTATGTGCTCCAACCTCCCTTCTGCGCACACTGAGCCCGAATAGTCTGTTTATAGGCCGCTCAGGCTCACAGGAGCTTTCTAGAAAGTTCCCTCAGTGGATTTCTATCAGTGAGGCTTAATTTGAAAGAACAAAAGCGAGGATGGGTGCAGCTGGGGTGACAGGACCGGCAGCATGCAAACCTACTGTTCCTTATTCATTTGCTGCATTGTTTATATGTGTAACTATCTACTGTATCAGCTTCAAACCACTGGGTTATGCTGCATTATCTCTGCTGCTACAATGACCCTCATTTCCCACAGGGATTATTTCAGTTTTATTGGATTTCATCTCGAATCTGATGAAGGTTTAAAAAAATAAATAAATAAATAAATTGGGGGGGATAAATGTGAGCGAGTAGAGTTTAGAGGACAGCTGGAGAGATTAGAAGTGAAAGTAAGAGCTAAAGCAGGATCTCAGTTCAAATAAAGAGATATACAAGAGCTTTCTGGTTACGAAGGAGCTTTAGGGACAGTGTTTGTTCATTATTTACCATACAATCACGTTGTCGACTACTTTCACACACTCTCTGTACCTCATCATGGTTTCACTATTGCTTGTGGCAGACAGTGTCACCCAGCAGACACAGAAGAAGCAGAACTCGTAGTATTTGTAAACACTTTTGGACCACCAGGCCAGTGAGGAATACCACAGCTTCCTGCCGATGGAGCGGCTGTCATGTACTGAGATCGCAGTCTGGTTGAATAAATATCACACCTGGATCTCATATCAACCATGAATTGAGCATCCTCTTTCTGTCTACTGCTCCAAAGGCAAAGTATTTGTGAGCACATATGTTTTGTGCATATTTGTGTTACAGCTCTCATTTAGTTTTGTTTGCCTTCCACGTGGCCCCAATAGAGTTCACTAAACCTTTTGTGTTTTCTCTCCATCTTCATTCGGCCCCTCTCTTCGCTGTCTTATGTATGCAGTGGTGTACGAGCATCGCTCCCGGTTAGAGAAGTCTCTTCAGAAGGAGAGGTTGGAGCACAAAAAGGCCAAAGAAGGTGAGAAAAATAACATCTATGCTCAATTCTGACTATATCTTTATATCGGTGTATGTACACTGGAGTGGGAAATTCATATGTAACTCTTGCATTGCTTCTTATAAGTCACTTTGGACAAAGGCATCTGCTAAATAAATGTAAATGTATAAATGAATTCTGATGTAATAAAATAAAAACACCATCTGCAGCATCACATATCTATAAAAGTATAGAAGTATTTTATTTTGTAACAGGATAGTGAAGACACATTTTTTGTGAATGGACTGAGCTGTTTATGGAAATGTGGCTTTGAGTTTTTATGGAGTTTACAAAACCTCTGAATGAACTTTATGTAAGTCAGAATAATATTGTTGTTCTTGTACCTTTTCTCCATCAAAAGCAAGTCATTTCTCAAGTTAACACACAATTCTCCATCACACAGGTTAAAATGAACTATAAAGAAATTAGAATAAGACTGTTCTGTGTTTCTGTTTTCTAGATTATCTGGTTTATAAACTGGAGGCACAACAGTCAATAAACAAGGAGAAGGTTTGTTTCCACATAATTACCACCTCTGCTTTGACTTCATATCATCATTTAAAAATATCGCGTTTGATCTGCCTCTTATCACCTGTCCTCTGTGTTTTTCTGTCTGCTTTTATTGCTTTGTTAAATCAAGTGCTTTGTAGTGTTACCTTTGTTGTGTTTTTAAAAGCACTTCACAAATACAGCTACTACAGCTGCCACCATCAGATATAATTAATCTCTTCACCATTATCTGTTGTGACAGTACCATTAGTCTTGAACTACAAACAATTTCATTTTTTTCAATAATGTGAATGATAAAAGTTTTTGTTTTGTTTTTGTTTTTATGCTCAAACAGCAAGAGTCGAGCAGCAGATTCAATTCTCTACAAGTACAGCATCAGATGTTAAAGGTATAGATCATTATGATCCCCTCATACACAGACACATGCTTACCCTGTAGGTTCCTTTATTCTTATCAGTAACACAGACATCCTCACAGACCTCTTTCTTCCTGTCATCCATTTGCACACAAACTCTCTCTCTCTCTCTCTGACCTCGCCACACTACATCCTTCCTCTCTTTGGTGTAAAGTATGTGTGTGTGTGTACTTTCATGAACCTGTGCTTTTATGAAATGAGAAAAAACAAAACATAGACCAAGGGTAGGCAACCTACGGCTCTTTAGCCCCTCACCAGTGGCTCCTTGTGGCTTTGACAAAACATTTTATGGAAATGAATAATGAATTGTTGTAGGCCTTAACAAGGTGTCATTGGTGGCTTATAATGTTGAGCCTCCCCAGCTAGGCTAGCTATGTTTTGCTGACCCGTGACATCATCTTTTTATTCTCTGTCAGAATCAGCACGAGGACCTGAAGAAGCAGTATTACGACTTGCAGGACAAGCACCAAGTCCAGGGCGAAGACCACAGCCGGCTGCTGGGCGAACACAAAGACCGCTACGAAAAACTGCAGCAAGTAAAAGAGGGGGAAATCTCCCAGCTCAAAGGTACCGATGGTCTCACACACACACACACACACACATATATATACTGTATATACTGTATTTCAGCACCACTCAGTTCCACACACATACATTGTACCAGTGCAGTGTAGTTTTCTGTAGTTGTGTCATCATTAGCCATTGTTTGTCTCCATCTTCTGACTTAATCAAATACTGCAGGTGTGGAGTCCAAGTGTAAGTGCTTTATGTGTAGACTTTTAGATCTAGTATCAAATAACAGTCTTCTACATCAAGCCTTATTACTTAACACATCTTCAATATGGTTCTAAGTTATTTATACACAGAACTATGTGGCCGGTGCTTTGAGCCTGGATATGAACTGACAAGTGGAACTAGGGTTTGTAACATAAAAGATAAAAGCGTAAAAATACAGGTGGTTCTAATTATTTTTGTAATTATTTTAATATCGCTCTTGTGTCATGGGTTTCCTGTTTAGATGCATGCTTTCTGCTAATGTGTTTGCCGTTTGTGATGGCAGATAATGTATATAACCTGAGGGAGGAGAATAAACAGCTGAGGAAAGCCCACCAGGAAATTCACAAACAGCTGCAGGATGCACAGGTGAGACTAAGTCTATTATTTCCTCTTCTTTCTCATGTATATATCCGTCAACTTTTGCTATGAGAAACAACTTGTGTCAGATATTGGGCAGTGAAATATAAGCCGCAAAAAATAAATGGTTTTTGTTTGCTATTGTGCGTTCAGGTTCAGCATCAGGACCTCAAGGCATCGCACGACAATCTCGCACTGACACTGGAAGACCACAAGAGTGCGCTGGCTGCAGCTCAGGTAGGACAAGCCTGAAGAGATGCAGTCTCATTGTTTACTCCAGTCAGCTGATTGATGCTGAACTGCAACATTACAATTATTTTGGTCACATATTTTTTCTCCCCCATCAAGTACATATGCAAATTCTATTGACTGCAGCAGTGAGACGAGAGACTAGGACAGTGCTAATGGAGTAAAACAGCCACACCACGGGGGACTTTCTGTTACCAATGAGGTGCAACTAAAACATTCTCTCCTTCGCTCCGCATTCCTCTTAGCCTTACTTTAACCTTTACTTTAAACGGGGACTGTGTAATCTCCAGTAGAGAAGGGGGAAAAAAAGATGCCTGAGGTGCTGCTTGGGTTTTTGGGTAATTAGATCAGATGTTGCCGTTTCTCCCTGAGACTGACCTTTGAAAATGCCTGAATGGTTTATTGAACATACAGTACTCTGCTGATGTGCTTCAAATGCTTTCCTCCTTTCAGTCTGCATTGCTGGATACTCCCTCACGCTCCTCTCCTCCTTTTTTTCCCCCTTTCTCTCTCTCGTTCTGTCTGTCTGCATTTGCTAATTTATTTTAAAGCCTGTCCTGTTTTCCATCAGTGCTTCTGGTTGAACGGGCACACACACACACACACTTATATATACACACACACAACTCCTTCCTTCACTCCAGGAGGTTAGGTTTAGTCAGAGCTGTCAGAGCAGTGCATCTAAAAACGCGTCCCAGCCAATCAGCCAGAAATATGTAATGGAGGGACAAAGAGAGAGGGGAGGAATCTAGCAAGAATTCGAAAAGAGTTCACGCCCTGGCCGGGTTAGAAAGTGTGTGCGCACGTATAAAGAATGATGTCATTTAATGCTATACTGGTCTAAACCGCACGGTCAGTTATAGAGAAATGTGTTAAAATATTCTGCTACATTTCGTACGGTACCAACAATATCTGGCCTATTCTGTCTCGAGGTTCACAAGGTTCACATATTATAGGGATTTCCTCTCTCAGCCCTCTTATGCTTGTGTGTGTTGTTTCCTTTAGGTGCAGGTGGATGAATACAAGCAGCTGAGGGAGTCCCTGAACAGGATGCCCAATCTGAGACAGCCTGAACAAAATCCTGCCCCCCAGCAGCCGCAAGCAGCTGCCATAGTGCCCGAGTCCCGTGTTCACGAAGCCCAGCAGGCCACAATACTGGAACAGCCACACAAAGAGGAGCCCGCCCACGAGGAAGATCACCAGGCTCACCAGGACACCGAGTCCAGGGTAACGTGGGATTCTTTGGGATCACTTTATTATCTGGACAAAAGGCATACTGTAAATATGGAAACATACAAAATCGAATTATTTCTCTTTTTGCTTTTATGCTCAGTTGGACCATCAAGGGCAAGAGGTGCACGCTCAGTCGGAGATCAAGACCCAGAACACCTTGTCAGACAAAGAGGAGGATGGAGAGGGAGAGGCAGAGAGGAGGAGGGAGCTGGCGGAAGAGGAGATGGCTCAAGCAGGACAGCCTCAGAAGCTGGAGGAGGACCCAGACCAACCACAGGATGAGCAGCCGGAGGAAGAGGAGGAGCCAGAACCAGAACAGCCGGACCAGAACGCCCTGGACCGACAGAGACGCCAGCCTCAGCCGGTCAGAACTGGTTTAGACTACTCAGTCTTATCTGAACGGGGTTAAAAGGCCTTGAACTGGTTTAAATTCCCTGTCTCTCATCTGACTTTTACTAGTTTACAGTAACTGTTTTCTCATTTAAAACTTGTATACATAATTGTGTCATTAAAACCATTTGAGATTAGCTTCCTTGAACAACATAACAAACCTTTGAATGATAAATTAGTCACTTGTTTCCTTGTTATCTCGGGGACACAGCTACTGCTCAAATTAAAGTGCTAATCATTTTGCTTTAATCCCAGAGGAACCGGAATGAATTACAACCTTTCCTCAGTGTTTACCCCTTTGATTAATGACAGCTTGCTTACTACGTGTTGTGCTCATTGTTTTATGCTGTCATTTCCATCTAAACTTTCCCAAAGGATGAATTATACCTCACCTCTGTGTTGATGTGTCAAATTAGCAGCCACTCCGTGTATTTGACTTTTTCTTTTTGCATCTGTCTGTCTCCTCAAAGGGTCCCCATCCAGAGCTGCATCCGGAGGCCCAGCTGCAGCACGTGGCACACGCCCAGGTGGAGCATGTGAAGTCGGCCTACGAGCAGCAGCAGGACCAGCAGCGCCTGGAGGCTCAAAGGGCCGAGGAGCGCAGGCAGATCCAGCTGCATCAGGAGGCCCTGCAGGTCCAGAGGGACAGGGTGCTGAAGGAGAGGGAGCAGAGGCTGAAGGAGGATCAGGAGAGGGAGCAGCAGCACCACAGGGAGGCTGACAGACGGGAGCAGCTGCTCAGAGAGGAGCACCAAAGGTCAGATTTCAAATCAGACTCGAAATCACTTAAAATCTGGTTATGCAAATGAAAAAAAACATGCAGAATGCTTACTTAAACTCAATGCAATGCAGATAGTTCCATTTGTCCAGCTTTTAGGATGTCCACCTGTGAGATTTCTGTGGCTTTTGGAAGTTATTGCAATTTAAATTTAAAGCAAGTATTACACTTGACAAGAAGTGAAATGAAATGACTCAAAGATGGTTTTTATCTTTAGTCTTCTTGCCACATTCCCTCAAAAGCCACGTGGGGACAGCCATGGCTGTCGGCCATTTTCTTAATTATCTTTTCCTAAAGAAATGTCAAAAGGAACACTAAATGAGACTAGTAACGCATTGATTAACCCGAACCAATAATTACATCTTCTTCATGCAAACTGGAAGTAGTAATTCCCTCTGACGTTTGCCACTCACCAAACTATTTATTGTCTGATCCTGGCAGTAACACACACATCCAGGAACATTTGGATGCTATGATTAAATTTGTGCTAAGACAAAAAGGTCTTGATATGCAGAATTGTCTACTTAAGGGCAAACTGGAATCTTTCTACCGCACAAATTCTATAACATACATGCAGCTAGAAATGTATCAACAGCTCGAAATAAAAACTGCTATATAGCAAGCAGTAAATTCTAAACACACTGTAATACGCATGCACATTTCTCAACATTAATAGCTCTGCCTTGATGTGGCCCGGGCTCTTCTGACTGCCCTGTGCTGTCATTGCTGTTTATTGTTTATTCAGATCCCTATTAGCTGTCAAGGTAGGAACAATTTTTCCTGAGGTCTGAATAAAAATACAAAACATTCACACACAATGTACAAGAGCCATCCACACTAAACCACATACACTGTTGACCTAAAACTCATACCCACACACAATACTAGCAACAATAACAACGATAACTAATAAATAGATACATTGTCAGTCTCTCCATTGTCTAGTTATGAATAGCTAAATAATGTCACAAGAAAAACAAATGAACACAAATTAAAATTAAACCAAACATTGTTTTACCAGGGATGAGGAAAGTGTTAGATAAAAGAAACTGAACGAAACCAAACGAGATCCCTAGGATACATTATGATAACAGCACATCAGAATACCATAGGCCGCAAACACACAACACACAAACAAGTAAGAGTAAAAGAGTAAAAGTTGGCTTTACTCGTGGCTTTGTTAGGGAGCGTGGTTACATATTCCATTGAGTGGTAGCTCCGTACAAACCTTGTGACTTGATCTTGTGTTAGCTGTCTGTCACTGACTTATCTTATGTCATGTTATTAGGAAGAGGACCGAGTATGAGAATATGGACAATGATATTGTTCAAGGAGAAGAGGACCGTCACACTGACGATGAAGGTGAGACAGAAAGATTACCAGTAAAAAAAAGAAATACCCTGAATCAACAGATACTTAAAACTGTTAATCATTACATCATAATAACTCCAGATATGTGCTGTGTGTGTTAACAGAGAGCGATGTTCATATGTTACATGAGGAGGAAGAGAAACAAGAAGTGGATCACAGAGTGCCACCACATCAGCAGGTGACAGTCTAGCCATCGTGTTCTCTCCGTCTCATCATCCGTCTATCCCTTCAGCTCATTCAGTCACTTAACATTCACGCCGGTGTATCATATGTCATACGTCCTTTCAGCCATCCATCCAGAAATCGATTCTTTCATCCTCCCTGCCCACTGTCCGGCGTTGGCACATTCATCTTCCACTTGTCAGTCAACCCAGTGATCTGTTAAGTCTTCTGAATACCAACAAGGCCATTAATACAGCATCAGAGTACACCAACTCCCACAATCAGTTTCATCCTGCCAAACACATTCAGTTATTAATCCACCACACTGCACTTTTATTGCAGTCATTTTATCATATCTCGTGCTCTTATTCTGATGTTAATGCAGCATACAATTTCATCTTATGCAAATGTTAACCCGCCAGTGCCATTACTCTACCTCTTCCTTGCGCTCTTTAATTAATTCTGTGTTATTTTACTACTATCTTTTCTTCTGCAGGGTGGTGTCGATGGCGAGCTGGATCCTGAGGACGACCCCAACAACCAGGGAGAGGACGAGTTTGAGGAGGCCGAGGACGAGCGGCCGCAGCACAGAGTGGCAGAAGAGGAAGAGGAGGTGGTAGAGGAGGAAGAGGAGCCGGCAGCACCAGCTCAACACGTAGAGACGCACCAAGGCCACGATCAGCCTGCTGTGGAGGAGGAACTGGTGGTGAGTAAGGGGCCGGAGAACAACAGCGGTCAAACACACAGAAACTACACGCAGCATCAACAGAACCAAGTACAGCAGGTGGAAAATAGCTGAGCGCCGACCCAGAAGATTAGAGGTTGAGATGAAAATGTTGAAAATGGCAGAGAAAAGCAGAAACTGACTGTGAGGGTTTGAGAAGTGGAGGCTACAGGGGAAGAAAAGAAACCTCAGGCTCAAGGAAAATAAATGACATTTAATTTACTGTTTTAATTTGTCTGTGTGTAATTTGCTTGTGTGCAGATGGCGGGAAACCCAGATCAACAGGAAGACACGCTGGATGACCAGTACCAGGAAGAAGTGGAGGATGAGGTGTGTATCACTAGACACAAGCTTTATTCTTACACTGACTGAAACCACCGGGAGAACATACATTTATTTCCTAAAGTAATGTTTTATAATGTATTTCTTTTTTCCTGTTGGTGTCCTGAAGGCTCAGGAGGACATAGCTGGTGGGCAGAAGAGAGAGGAGGAGGTGGAGGAGGAAGGAGAGGATCCATATAACGAGGAGAACATAGAACAGGTGGGTTCTTCTGCAGGAACCAGAATCAGAAGATTTCTAGTATTTTCCTTTTTATTTATTTTTTTACTATGAAACATTTACCTTTAAAGAACCCAGGTAGGACATAGGAAAAAAATATTTTGATATCACATCCGGAAAGCAATATTTACACTGATGTATTGGATGTATTGGCTACAAGGGGGTGAAGTTGTGTCAGCATGTGTGTGCATGCTTGTGTTTTGTCCCCGTAACTTGAACCTTGCCCGTGTGTGTCCTGGTAAATGAGGGAGATCAGATGTTGAGTCTGTCGGGGGCTCAGGTTACCACCGGGGCTGAGTTTATTTAATGTGTCCTAAAGAAGAAATCTGTTCGAATGGAGAACACATTATATCCTTAAAATCTATTAAAGTTAATATAGTATATTTAATACTCTTGCTTACATAATGTTGTAAAATAATGTACACAGGTATGGTCATATTTCTAAAAGGTCATTTTAAGAAGTGATATAATCTCCAGTGTTGAGTACAAACCTTCTGATAACCTGCCCTGCCTGCTGAAGTGTCCTTGAGCAAGACATTTGACCCCCTACTACTTTGTGCTGTTCTGTAACTGACCCTGACTCCTGACCTCCTTGGAGAGTGACATTCATTTATTTATAATCCCTAGTTTTTTTTTGCCAGGAAGGCTGTACACATGGCTTAAAATTAAAGTCCCCAAACAACCATTGTCCCAAATTGAAGCAGGAATGAATTACGATTGAATATATTTGAATATAACGGTCAGTTTTGTCCATGTCATGATTCATGTATAGAGTCATTTTGTCTCACTGCCCTCGTTTGTGGTTAGTACAAAAGATTTGAGATGTGTGTAAACAAACCCTTATTATGCGGATGAAACACGTGGTTTACGCTCATATAACCTGATATGGTGGTGTGTCTCTAAGTCCCCCCCACTTCTTTTACTGACTTGTGTTTCATACTCAGACCCAGACCCAGTCACCTAATGACTGAACGTACTTAAGTTTCTCTGTAATTTGAGCTCAGTGGAGCTTTTACTCCATTCAGCTCCATTCATCCACTGCCGCACAGTTGGTGTGGCTGAGGTGTTTCAGTTGAACCTTTACAGTCTCTGCCTCTATTTCTTTACAATATAATTAAAACCCTGTGCATACAGTCCTGTAGACAGACAAGCAGGAGACACCCATTCCTTCTTCACACAGTCACAAACCACAGAATCTATGTGGATTTAAACGTATCTTTTCATGTTTTTGCCGCTCTGATAGAAAAGTTAGCTGTACTGTAATTATGCCTACATGCTTGGTTGTCTCCTAATCGCTAAAATGGCATGAAATTGTGAGTTTAAAAAACAATCTATGAGAGTGAGAGGAAGACATGAAGACAGATAATATAATTTCCAAGTGAAATGGTGTTATGAAAACCTTTTTTTTTTAAACGTCTAAGATCATCTTTAGTGGAAAAACATCCCGATTCTTGCATACAGTGGCCATTAAATAGTTGTGTTGTGTGCTTATGATTTGCTCCAGGATGACGTAAAACACCAGGAGGGACCAAGAAAGGCTGGGGATCACAGAAAAGAGGCCGAGAATAACGAGGAGGAGAATTACGAAGAGGAAGAGCAGGAGGCCGAAGAGGACGCAGCCGGTCGAGACAAGGGAACCAATCGGAGGGCGGAGATGTAAGACGGGCGCAGACCTTGACCAGTTGCAGTGCCTTTTCGACTGCCCACCAGGTCTTTCTTTCCCTTGTTTCCCAAAGGAATAAAACCAGCCATCCATTCAGAAATCCAGTTAAGAAAATTGGGATATTAATGCCTGAAAGATGAGGATGCTATTCCAAACACTGTGGGGATGGAAATGAGCAGCTTACACTGTGGAAATGGACAGTTTGTTTGGCAGAAATGGGGTGTATACTGTATATTTTTTTCATTTTTTATTCATTTGCTTTTCTGTCTACTCGCACGTCTGCCTGATTGCCCGTCTGGTTCTGTTTACTTACCAGCGGACAGACGGAGAATGTATTTTCATTATGTGCTGTCTTTGAGTGTGTGTACAAAGCAAAGATAAATTATGTTATTCGGATGTCCTTATGTTCAGGCCTTCATATGTATGTTTTATGCAAACAGTTGTATTCTTTGTAGAGCTCAAATTTTAATTTACATTCTGTCATTCCAATCGATCGAGTCGTTTTCTGTTATTTATTGTTGATTGTAACAACTCTGACAATCGTAAAAAGGTGCAACGTTCCTTTTTTATTTCCCCCGACTGAACTAGTTTGTGTCATAATGGCTTTTTACCAACTTCTTGAAGCAGATACGCAGGAGTTTTTTCACTGGATTATTCCGCAAATGCCAGTCAAAAGAGACATTTCTGGTGAAGCCGTTCTGTGCTGAACGGGTCACGCTGACATGTGCCTTTCCATTAATGGAAACCTCTTCTAGGTCTTAGTCATTTTACATTTGGAAAGTGTTTCAGTAGGACAGGAGAGACGAGAGCATGCCAGGCAGTGCTGAGCCTCTTGCATATTGCTACAGCATAGCCTTAAGTGGGGGGGGGGGGCTGTTTCATGTCGACTGCTGGTGTGAATTAAATTCACAAACTTAATGCAATTTACTGCAAAATCTTTAGTCTACTGTACAATGTATAGTAAAAAAATAAATGCTGACAATTTGTACATTTTTCCACCAGTTATATTTGATACAAAAAAGTGGGAATTTGATTGTATCGAACCACGTTTGTTACCTAAATGGTGTGTGGAATAAAGAGGTCAAAGGATTTCAGGTCATTGGGATTGTGTTGTCTGATTCTGTACTTTCACCTTCTTGAGAATATAATCCATTCACAGTCTCCAGTGGAGCTATTCGCCCAGAAAATGGATGCCAAGCCAGCAATGTATTATGTAGCAATAACCTAAACCCTGAAGTTCATTTTAGGTTAGCTGCCATTCAGTCTTTTTGAAAAGTCTTGTAGCAAGTAGAGCCTTCCTCACAGTTAGGAATTGGTCTTTACCCGTCAATCCTGTCTGCAGGGGAAAATAAAAGTGTATTATCATTAAGCCTCAGCCATGATAAAAGCAGTCTACATTCTCAACAAGCTAAGGAAAGCTGCTTTTTTTATTATTATTTATTTTTTTTACTTCCATTAGCCTTTAGGAAATAATATGAGTACTGCAGTCCAGGCAATCACTGCTCCAGCTAAATTACAGTGTAGAAATCTGCTGTTTCTGGGGAGTGCTGGAAAATGTAAAAGCTCTGTTACCACTGTGGCACTAACTAAGATACTTAGAGAGGGAAAAGACATATATTTTCGACTTTCTAGGTCAGGGGTTCCCAAACTGACACTTGGTGGGCCTCGGGCCAAAAGCAAACACCTATGTGTGGTATTTTTAAGATGAAAAATGGTGCTAGCATCCCAAGCTCCCTATGAATTACTGTGCAGTGCCACTCTGTCCACTGTGCTACCTACACATCATTTTCACCTAGAAGAAACTATTAGTGATTTATGTAATTAGTTTTTATTTATTATTTTTGTCTTCACTACAAACATCTGGCAGGCCCTCTCTCAGGATGCCCTGACCTAGATCTATCCTAGTTTCTGTCAGGACAGTATAAGCAACCCTTCTGCCTTACCTTTTATATAATCCACGGATCTTTTTCCAAGCAAAAATGTCCTCTGGTAATAAAGTAAACTGAATGTCTCTATATATTTTGGATCTCTGAAACTTTGATGAACATATAGTATTTTCTAACATTTCAAAGGCAAAATTATGAATTGATTAAACCGGAAACTAAAACGTAAGATCTGAAATATCAACATATATATGATTTTTTTTTTAAATTTCATCTTTTTATTTATAATTCTGTCTTTAAAATGAACACAGCATTTGGCATCCATGTGTCTCCATACCCTAGTAAATGACTGGTGAAAGCACCTCAGAATACTGCCTGTGCAGCTCCAGCCAGAGAGCACCCAGAGGTCCCATGCAGCATCCAAAGGAAGTTGTTGGGAAGCTCCGTGGCTGTTGCCTGACATGACTAATAAAATGGATAGATGCAAGTATTCCTGACTTGCAGCAAGCTCATCGTCAGGTCTATTTTCAAACAGTGACAAGATGATCATAAATATGTATCAAGCAGAAGGAGGGGGAAAAAGTCCTAAATATTCATGCTTGAGTTTAGAAATCACGGGGTGTCACTCAGTCGATCACGTCTGCACTTCCAATGTGCCCAAGTATAAATCCTACCGAGTCTGTTCCTTCCCCCTTTTCTGGTTGAGAACGGAGAGGTGAGTAGATTGTGTGTGCGAACTCGCTCACATGGGAAATGAACCGACAAATCAGAATGAAATGAAAATCAAACGAGAGGAGGTTGACTGAGAAAGGCAATTACCTTTAATGAACAACATTTGTCCCCGGCACACAGTCTCAATCAAATCATCCCTCCTCCTCTCAGTCTCTATTTCGGCTCTACCCCTCAGTTTCCTGTCATCCTCCCTGTTCTTTTTTTCTCCCTCTGCCTCTCTCACGGTGTCTTCCTTTCTTTCACTCTATTTTTTCCTGTCATCGCCCCTCTGCCGTTGCAAGATTGTTGATCTCCCCCAGAGGGACATGTAGGATGCTGGAGGAGTGTGAGAGTAACAGGTGTCTCATTACTGTGCTAATAGCAGGCCACAGGGAGACACACACACACACA